GTGAAAAGTTCGTGAACGTGATCGTGATCGTGATTGTGATTATAACTTTGCAAAGCATCGTAATCGTGATCGTGGTTGCCATTGTTTAAAAAAAACCGTGATCGTGCGTAAAACTTACATTTCAACCGTAATCGTGATCGTGATCGTGAGCAAAAAAATCAATCACGCAGAACTCTACAGGTCAGAAATGCAGAAAAAACAGCAAAAGCAGGAAATTCTTAAAATGTGGACAAATTGAGGAAAAATCTCAGAAATCTTGACACTGTTCTTTGACGGATTATGGGAATTTTTTTATCCAGACCGTTTGAAGTCCAAATAGGGATGGGTATAATTTTATATCAGATTTATTTATCTTTTCGTTTTAGCAGAAATGACTATGAACTTGAATCTGGACTTGGACTTGGATTTGAAAATGATCAGACTTGTCCACCTCTATTTTTTATACTTCATGATCAGTTGAAGGATTATTCTATATGCTATGTTAATTGATGGTATCTTCTAGGGATGGGATAGTTCCAGTTCCTATAGTTCTTAAGAACTGGTCACCAGCTCAGTTCCTGTTGAACGGGAACTAGTTACCAGTTCTTTTCAAGAATTCAAAATAAAATAAAACCGATGTAGCTAGTTATATTGATTTGATTTAGTCAACTAAACACATCATCTATCTCCGACGCACTACATAAGGTCAATGTAAGTAAGATTTACCGGTTTTATTTCAATTTTAATTTTTGGATAAGAACTGTTACCAGTTTCCATTCAAACGAACTAAACTGTCAGCATCTTCTAAACTTTGTTAGTGGTTCATTTCGATGCTTATATATCGAATATGTCAGTTTTATCCAGGACATTTGGCAAATTGTTAAAAGATTAGATATTCATAAATCGTTAGTTGATTTTTGTTGTATACATTTTAGATTTTCTATAATTATTTATTAGAATAAAAACGCAGTTTTTAATACCTGGTTTGAATTATTTTTGTTCTATGTGTTTCTGAGAAAATGAATGATGAACGATTATTAAATGATCATAGTCTGGTAAATTTAGATAGAGCTAGCTGTATTTCTTGTTTTTGATCAAAATAATACTGTGAATTTATTTTTTGCATTCTAGCGTTTGAAAGCTACGTTACATCATGCATGCGGGAAGATATGTGAAAAAATGCAATCAAATTCAAATATTACTTTTAGTAAAAAAACAATAGCAACATTAAATGAAATTATATTTCAACAAACAGTTATTTTTTGTAAAGATTTAGATTCATTTTCAAGGTATGTCAAAATGGTCTGTTTTTCTCGGTTGAAACATATTTGTTTTGTGTTTGTAGTCATGCTAAACGTAGCACAATAAATATAGATGATGTTCGTCTGTTGTGTCGTCGTAATCCAAAGTTATTAGAAAAATTAGATGAGACGTATGGAGAATTAAATAAAGGGAAAGACCCTACAACTACACTAAAAGGCCGTGGTAAAAAAAAATTAATTATTAAAAATGAATCGGAATCAGCATCCGAAAATGAAAATAGTAAAACAACGTTAACATTGTCGAGAGTAGCTACTACTACATCAAAACAATCAGCAACATCAGCAAAATTTGCCAAAATTTTAAAATTAGATGAAACGACGGCGAAGAAGAAGCGACCACCACCAATAATAGATGATTTTGATGATAATGACGATCTGGTCGATCGAATTAGTATTGTTTCAAGTGATATGGATGATTAGATTATGAATTTTCTTTAATACGTGTGCGTTTATTTATTGTACAGGATGTATACTTTCTATTCTTTGTTATTGAAGAAAGACATTATTAGAGTGTCTAAAAATAGAATCGAAATTAAATTTTCAGTGTCCTTGTTTTCTTAAAACCGTATGACGACTTCGTCCTTTATGTATAACATCGTCATATTTCAGCACAATATGTTTATTATGAAATTGACGTGGTTTCGACATTCTTGACGTTAAATCAGCTTCATTACCGCCACTCTGCTTTGATTCGCACCATTTTAAATCATCTATAACATTTTCATGTAATAAATGGAAAAAACTTCGACAAGAAACACCCATTATTAACAGACACTGATAAATCCCTTTTATAAATATACCTGCTGAAGTGATAATAAATTAGAAAATAGATCAAATGGAAACGAACATTTCTTTTACCATATAGTAGTTGATAGTAAAAACAATGCGCGAGCATGTTAAGAAGAACTTCATAAAATACGAGACTCATTTGAAAACAGTTCTTTGTGTATGCTGCAGCACAAGTAACACAAAAGAACGGACTTAACTTTGTAAGTTTTAAGAGAAAGGTTGAATTTCACTGTCGATTTTCATTAGCTGATCGTGGATACTTACATTACCATATTATTAAACAGAATATCGGTGAAATAAACTCAATCAAAAATAAAAGCATGTAACACATCAACGGCGTCTACGACTAAAGCTTACAATTATTATATACGGAAGCATTGGTGTTAATTGATGAGAAGTTCCGTAAGACATTTACATTTGTTTAAGAGTAACTAGTTCTTTGACGACTAAGCATCGCTTTACACTGCTGTGAGATATTAATTATTTAGATTTAAGCTAATGAGTGTACAAAAATGACAGAGAAAGAAGTCTTCCTAATCTTTCTTCGTTTCTGTTCGACTACTGACACATTTTTGAGCATCTAAGAGTTGTACATGGATGGTATGAAACTACCAGAATATCGAAGTTAAATCTTAGCTCACACTTCAGCCTTTTTCGTATTGCTAGTTGGAGAGAGATTACAAAGTTGCACATTTTCATCCAAAAATCCTTGAGAAAAATTAAGATTTGAGTACCTACTTCGCAAAAAACCGCCCATTTTTTGTAGCAAGTATCATTCATGCACGCCGAGTTTTATCAAATATAACTTGTTCTCATGATGAAATGGAAGTAGCTTCCGAGCTTTTTAAATAGGTGTAAGATGAAAACATTCTTTTTCCATTGTAGACTTAATCGTGTGGCCTACTTTTCAAAAACTGTACTGTCTTCTAAAAGTATGAATCAACCTGTTGAAATATTTTTATCCTTGACTTTGCTTGGCTAGTACTAAGAAAGTCTCAGCGTTTTGGCTGTGTTCAGATGTTTTTTGCTGCTCGAGTTTAGAGATATCACATGACTTTAATCCTTTGACTACGCTAAGGAATTGAATTTGACCTAAAATATCTCAAGAGGTGTGCACCCTGGACATCGAAAACATTATAATTAATTTGTGTATAAAATGCCTATTAATAACCCATCTAGTGTCTGTTACATGGACATTTTTAGACCATTGAGGCAATTTTTGGAACGTTTTAGGCACTGAAATTGAGAACATCTTAATGCCTAAAAGTGGTAGTTTTATTACGATCAAAAATGGACATTTTATGATCTTCGTTTTAAGACCGTTATTGCACCATTATTGGCCGTTGGCGACCTATTGTTCGAACATATTCGACAGTCAGTTTTCTTCTGGTTAGTAACCTCACAAAGACTGGATATATTTGCAGCTTGTCCAAGCGTCACGGCGTTACGTTTTTGACGCACTAAACTTCGGTTATCTCGGAAATTAAAGTAGCTAGAAAGTTCGTTCAAACATCAATCGACGCAGTTCATCATGCTCTACTTAGGCCGTGAAAACGAAGGTTTTTGGATGTTGCATTGGGCTTTGAGAAGGATTTTAGTGTTGCGTCACAGCGTTACGAAAAAAGACCGTTTTTTTCGAGCGCTCTTGGGAATTCTTAAAATTTCCTGTGAAGTTAATTATGTAAAAAGGAAACTTCTACAGCAAGATATACAGAGTAATTGACGGGTAAGTCCAAATCTCTACAAAAGAATATTTTTTGAAATTTCTTGAAATTTGTTTTAAAAAATGTTTTTGTTAAAAAATTAAAAATCCGGTTTCTGAAAAGTTCAAAACCAGGTTTTTTGGATGAAAATTGAACTTTTTTGAAAAACGAGTTTCAAACGGGTTCTTAGAATAAAAAACTGCATCTAATCATGTGTTCAAAACTTTCGATATCGAAAAAAAGTTTTTCAAAAACTTGATCAGCGAAGTGTACCGTTACGTGGACAAGCCGTTTGGTTCTTTAGACCATGGCATCATCACTAGTATCAGCATCCAAACTAGAACCTTTTTCCTCGAACCTTTTTAACTGAAAGGCGGTTGTGATTCAGAGTAGAATAACGGACAAAAAATGGTGACTGTTAATGGGTTTTTTTAACAGTTTTTAGCCGATTAAAAGTAAATTTTTTCGTATGCAGCTAACAGGTTGGTGCATGAGTTATTAAATGTCAGTTTTTGTTGAACGAAACGAAAATTCAGTAAGTTCTATCGTTAAATATTGAATGCTGACCAATAACAACATCCATGTGTTATACACAATGACATTAATATGATTAAGATACGTAGTACAGTTGATCCTGTAAACTGCTAACAAAATCTTAGTAGGCTTGCCACTATAAATTTATGGACAATTAGAGACTCTTTGAAAAAGACATAATATCGACAAAAGTCGTGACATCTATCCAACCATTGGAGAGTTTTCTGTCATAATATAGAAAAACTATTTCGTGAATTATTATATTTCGTGAGTTATTATTATTTTTATCAATCAAGAGAAGAAAAGTGAAAAATAGTAATATGACGAATTAATTGAAAAATGACATCTCCGTATCAAAAAAGAAAGTTTGGTCAAATGTGTGATTTTCATATAAAAAAACCCACAAATTTCATGAGAAAGATATGTATCTAGTCTGGGTGTCCTCGTGAGGATTTTATTGATTCTCAAATATATTTAAAATAATGGAAGATTGTCCTTTATACAGCTGTACAGACGCAAGGGACTGCTGCACATAAGATATATATTTCACACAGGAAAAACTTTTTATTTACACAAGAAAGGAGCGTGTATATTATCTAAAACATAAATTAGGTTGTTCTTCCTCTTGTATTTCTCACTCGGATTAACAAATAACAATACAAATCGAAGTTCATTTGTTGAAGATGAGCTTTATTCTCTCCCTCTCTTTTTTTTAAAATGAACAAAAATTCTCTATCCTTTTCCTTTATTCTTTGTTAGCGATTTTTTTTTTTGTTCCTTGTAAACAACAGAGAAAAAATTAGTTTACTTAGCATAGATACATGAACATTTGAACTTGACAAAAAGAAAAGACAAACTAGTATATCTGTTATAGATGAGATATGATCATAAAAAATTTGTTGGAGATGCCGACATTGGTGTAAGCCTTTCAGTATATGCAAGTAGAATATATTCTTTTTTTTTTTCTCGTACATGTCAAACATAACCCTTTATAAACACGATCTAATTCTAGTCATTTTCTGATTTACCTTACAACCTGTACATCATGATGACAGAAACTCAAAAGTCAAAAAACAATATCAACAATATGTATTTTTGTTTTAATTGCACCATTAATTAATCGACCAAGAAATGACGTCTTCGTCGTTTATTTGTTGCTAGCTTAAACTAAAATGTATTTGTTTGTATGCGACTAACCATGGAATCATCAAATGGTGGTTAGTATGTGTGAGTGACAATAATTCTCAATGCCCTAGAAAAAGATGATACCATCAAAAAATTATTTCATGTAGACATTATCAACAATTAGCAACAATTTTTTTTGTTTGATAAAAATTTATATTATTCAAAGAATGATGATAAATTTTCAGTTCTCTATTTCTATTATATTCACATATATAATCGTTGTTACGATTTGATGAAATTTTATTAGTTTGTACGTGCAAATTATTAAAATAAACTACTTTTCGTTAGTGTGACAAAATAATAGTTTTGTTCTTTTATATTTTAACAGAATTCTATAGTCTATATCAATCAATAGAAGTCTGTCTTGTGGTACATACATACGCACACATGCTCGAAATATTGATCTCTATTCAATGAGGTTCTACTACTAATGTTTAATTACGTTTATTATATCGGATTCTTAATTATTTTATACTTAAATTATGTCAATTCAATATCTCGTACGATGTCAACAGAAATACCTGTTGTACCATTAACTAGTAAGTATCCTTCACTACATAATTGCTCTCTTATTATCACTTGGTGCTTCTAATTTCCATGAAATTATAACATGACGATGACTATGTTGAATTTCTAAGTTATACTAAACTATAAACTATACTAATTAATCACGGATGTTTTATTTAGGTGCCATGACTGCTGTTTATTGTCATAAGACGAATGATGGTGATCAGCTTACAATACGTTGTAAATCAAATGAAAAAATTCGTATGTTAGATGCATTTTATGCTCGTGCTCGAAATCGAACTCGCCCATATTGTCAAGAAGGATTTGATATTAACGATTGTAAAGTGCATACGAGTTTTTCATCTGCTTGTTCTGGCAGAGAAAATTGTACAATACACGTACAACGAACATGGTTATCTGAATGTTCGTCTAACAATACGGATGACGAATTATGGTCAGACTATACGATGGCATTTTACGAGTGTATTTCAGGTAAGATTGTTCGATTTACACGCCAAAGAAAACCAGTATGCTATTACAATTTTTCTGTACATGAAATTACTTTAGATCTAGAACTCTTTATTCGGTAGATGTTTTGAAGAATTTTTTAGCATATCCGTGATAATAGATATCTAATGTTTGTTACACACCGTGATGGTAAGACGATCTCGATCAATACTAAGTGAACTAGTTTTAGATTAGAGATGTGCAGAGTAGCTGTTTGCTGAACTCTAACCCTACTCTATCTTTGAAACCTTTGAGAATTCTTTATTGACAGTTATTTTCTTACTTTTTCATAATTTAATCACATCAATGAAAATCACTCTTTTAAAATTTCTTAGTAACATAGCGTCATCGATTGTTTCTCCACTCAGCCTTTGAACGTTCTTCTAAAACTCGTCGATATAATCCATCTTTTTTGAGGCTCTATCCTATCCTGTAAAGAGTATGGTAGGATTAGGACGTCTCTATCCTAAATCTCTAAAACTTTTTCTAATGTTCGAACTGATATAATTATCATCCCTCTCGAAGTCTTTTTAATCTATTCGTTTTAGGGTCATTCCACTTAACTTTGCTACCAGAACATGAGCGCGTTACCATTTTTACTGTTATTGTTTGTGTTATAATGTTTGAAGGAAACCGTGAAAATTTGAGAAATATCTTGTTTTGTAACTGAAAGTGTGCTCTTAACAATACGCTCTGGTATAAATTTGAATCACTCAACCTTCTTTACCTTATACTTAAAATTCGATAAGCTCAAAATTAAAATTCGTTTTTTTCGAGAATGCTGATATTTAGATTGTCGCGCAAAGAAGATCGAGCGATTCAAATTAGTGAAGGGCACACTTTCAGTTTACAAAACAAGATGCTTCTCAAATTTTCACGATGTTCCTTTTAAATATTATAACACAAACAATAACAGAAAAAATCGTATTGACTCATTTTCCAGTAGCAGAGTTATGTAGAAGGGTTCTATAGAATCCTTCTTTCAAAACTTGAGATGCACTTCCGTCTTGTTTAAACTTTGAGGTTTCATTTGTAATACGGACATAAATGAAAACAGTCTTTTATTAGATCGCATGGAATGTTTCGTGATGTTTATTTGAACTGGAGACTTGCGATCATAATATAGATAAACATGTAGGCGTGTTTCTTACAGACATGAGATTAGATCTCCTCCTTCTTTACTCTTATCTTAATTCTGATTACTTCATTCTCTTTATTTCGTCCACGACCATTGATTTTCGTTATTGTCGTGTCCATTATACAAGAAAGATATTAATAGATGAATTGAACACGCCTAGACTTGTTCAAAAAAGATCATTCATTCTTTTACTTGTATGATTATTTGATTCACACCATCGTATATCATAAATAGTGTCTCTTCACGTACAAGGGATTAAATTAGTTAAAAAGACCTTTAGAGAAAGAGAAAAGAATGGTGGCGTCCTCATAGATAGGAAGAGAAAACAGCACGCAGGTCTAGCTCATAAACAATAGTATAGACACAAGCAATGGACAAGACAATAGATAGATCAGACATGTCGACAATTAGACTAGATATTGTGCTAATTCATTCCGTCGTTTGTTAATTATAAACCAACTATCATATTATATTACCTCATTCAAAAGTAGAACGACTGATAATGAACACGTACTAAATCATTTGAAATATTACTTTGGTTCAAGGATATTTATTTAACACGAGAATGTTTCATTCTATGAGTCAGAATCTGAATAGCCTCATTAAGAAACACATGAAAACTGTTATATATTTAGCGATCTAGCTAACGATGACACACTAATTTTGGAAGTGTGTTTTTCTAAGACAAGAAGATGAAAAGTTCCACATTATAAATATGAAAGTTTTTTCAAAAATCGTTTAATTGTCAAATTTTTTACCATAGACTAATCTAAAATCAAAATCAAATTCCTGATTCATTAGTTCTTCTTGCTTTAGAATGTCTATTTTTGCTGTTTAGATGTGTTTATTCACAATATCTGTAATGATAAAGAGTTTACCAATGTATGGGGTACATTTCAAACACCACATTTTCCTAATCCATATAATTCAAATGATGATTGTTGGTGTAAATTGTCAACCCATAAAAAACATCGACTATTATTATCGATTATCGTTTTTCAATTAATTCCCTATGATCGTAAGTTATATGCGAACATCTTTGTCTAAATACTCTTAAAAAATCATTCGTTTGACTTCAGGTGAATGTGCTGGTGCTGGATTATATCTTCAAAGTAGTGACACTCAACGTAGTACACAATGTACATATCTGAATCAAGGACATAATTATCTAAGTGATACAAATCAATTATATATTAATTTTTATAGTCACACACCAACTGTTCGCGGAGGATTTTGGATCATCTATGAAGGTTTGTTATCCCATTGTTAAAATTGTAATTTTGTTGAATTTATTCTTCTCTATAGCTAGTAGTGCCAATGCTGAAGTTCATCTTAAGTGTGGTCCAATGAATAAAATTTATCCTTCTGGTAATCGAAATGGATCACCTCGAATGAGTTCATTATCACCAGTATCAACCGGGTTTGATAATGGTTGGGCTCGACTAGCGTTTGATTCATCGCCAAAAGTAATGGGAACAACAACGATACCATTTAACGAGAAAAATATTTATCAACGAAATGATGATGATAAAATAAAAATGTTAAGGTTAACAACAAATAATACCGTTACACAACGACCAATGAATATTTATTCATATAGTGAGTATACAATATCTAGATAAACTCCCACTTTTAAGATGGCATTGGTAAATATGAGATATGACTCTAAACGTTAAACACACAATTTTTAAATAATATCTATGTATTAATCCACTAAGAATTTAATACATACATGTCATTTCTTCACACATTGAAGACGGCAACTGTTGTTTGAATTTCCTATTATATAACATTCTCTTTTTTCAAAACGGAATATGACCTTAATATAAATCCGTGTTGCGATTGACACACACGTCACATCGAGGTATTAGCACAATGATACACTTTGAAAGAAAAAAGAGCATATACATGTACATGAATGTGGTATACATATGTTGTTTTTGTATATTGACGATACATTTTTAACAAAGATTTCCAGTAATAGAGAAAAAGCTAATGTCTATGGAACAATAATATCCTGAAGTGCTTTCTCTTTGTAGTTTGGATCACTAGAAACTATACTATACTATACTACTACTGCTACTATTAAATGTTTTTTGAATTAGTAAGGTTAGCACGAGAGTCATGTTGAGATCTCTTTAGCTATATATCTGGTTTAGAATCATCGGATTTATTAGATCGTACATTTCATCAATGGCGCGGGGAAAAGAATCAGTATCAAGTATATGCTTATACAGCTAATTTAACAAGTACAATTAGTCCAAGAATGTTGTTATCGAATCGTCATACGTATAATAAAGATTTCAATGCCGAAGCAGCAGCCGCCTTTTCCTATCCTTATGGTTCATTATCGACGTTTGAATTAGCATGGGGACCGCAAGGATGGTATCTAAAATTTCCATCAACTAGTTCTATAGCGACGCGTCTCATGTATCCGACAACAACAACAACAACAACAACAACAACAACAACAATGACTAGTCCAATAATTACTCGTCCAGTGAATGATGCTATAGCTTATTTGAATAAAATTGATCAAAAAGGCTACAAACAGCGAAATATTAATAATACACTAAAATTATTCAACGTGCCATTTGTACAACCAACAAAACCGGTACCAAAAATAATAAAATGGAACTCGACATGGTATTACGGTTATACAAAGCGAACAACACGTAGTAGTGCTTCCACCATAACTACAGATCAAACAATTCATGCTAATACAAGTACTTCAGTTAGAAAAATTACTGACACGATTTTTCATACAACCTCTAATTTTATTTCGCCTTACACGACTGTAGACAGATTTAATCGTACAGATAGCGTCATATCGAAGAGACACGGAAAATTTTTCACAACATTACCGTCAAATTTCTTTTATGCAGCAACTTCCATCGAGAAAAATCGTACGAGTACTAAATCAATTATTCCTACTACCGCAGTGACATATACAACAACGACTCAACCGACAATCATAACAACTTCAAAAATGGAACACTTATCTCATAATTCTCAAACATTCCCATCGTCTACAACAACAGCTCGATATACTATTGATTATTCTTTATTAAATTTTAATCCGTTTCTATTCTTTTCTACAACATCGACAACATCCAAATTAACTTGGAGAGTAAATCGAACGAGCATACCAACACGAACGGTATCATCATCAACCTTGACAATTCCTCCACCAACACCATGGTACTCTCCACAAGGTCCATTCGACTGGTGGCATTGGATATGGCATACAAAAACAACGACGACTACTCCGAAAAATGTAACGAAAAAAACTTTGAGTCTAACGCCAAGCAATAATTCAACAACAGTAAAACAGACGACGAGTTTGAATATGGGTGTTGCTTTAATATCCACAACACTAAGCACACCTACCTGGAAAGAATCGTACACAAATATTTCAACACGCTCAACAAAAATGAAAAGTTATTCTACGTCATCTGTTCTGTTTCCGACATTTTTTACGTCGAATATGTCAACAATAAAAACTGAAGGTAAGTTTTTCTCGACAAGATCAACATCAACGTCCAATCGTCACTTTGTAATCAGCAACACAACACGAACATCAATTCTCAGTACTGAAAGTACCATCACTACAACTACTAGCACTACAACTTCCATCACTACAACTCTCATCAGTACAACTACCATCACTACAACTACTATCTCTACAACTCCCACCACTGCAACTCCTACCACTGCAACTACCAGCACTACGACTACCATCACTACGACTACCATTACTACAACCACCATTACTACAACTGCTGTTATTACAAGCACGAGTCAAAAATTATCGACAACTCGATCTACACACAGTCAAACTGTTGACTGGTTCAAGTTTCCAGTGGTTGAATCAAAACAAAATAGTATTGTATTTGATCGAGCAGGTCAATTTTTGTTTTCAAGCAGCAAGAGTACTGCGGCATCGAAATTAAATACTCAAAGAAGTACAACGACACTTGGTATTGATAACACTGGTGAAGATGCCGATGACACAGATCAAGATTGGAATAGTATATTTTCAAAAGACGACAGTGATTTAATATTTAAAGTTTCGCCTGAAAACAAGCTTATTGTAACACAATCGATGACACTAACAGCAGAAACACCATCGAAAAGACATCAGACCAGTGATGAACAAAGCGCACTTCCAAGCAGTAAGTAAAACTTAACGCTGCGTATAATTAAATGTTTATATTCTATGATTTATACGCAGATCCCAATATTTTAATGACCCCATCAAATGTTCACAACATGATTCGGCGTGTTATTAAACAACGTAATAAAAAAGCAATGGAAAATCGTCGTTTGAGTAAAACCGGTATGCTCGTTAGTCAGCATACATATATTCAGTGTCTATAATCTCATCACTTTTTCATTAGATATAACTATTATTGCTGTGTGTATATTATTTGTTATTTTATTGGCAGTAATTAACTTAATTTTATATGCTGTTCGACGGTGAGAGTAATAATAAAAGACTCATTTGTAATTATGATTCATCATCTTTTGTAGACATCGTCATCAGTTACAAGGACGTCATTTGATTAATCCTTCATTAACAGCAACGATGATAGGTGGTGGTGGCAGTACGAATAGCATTGGTGGTATAAATACAATACCAAATAATTCAGATATTCTCCCAGCTGTAGGGGAAATTGTTATCTGGGGTGCAAAAGATCAACGTGGCTATATGATTGATAATAATGGAACGTGGGCAAAAATAGAAGGACGACAATGGTTTGGAAGTAATATATTCAAAAGTTGGAGCAAAAGTTCATTATCAAAAAGGTCTGAATAATTAGTTATTCATTTAACTCGAATCTGTTTTATTAACAATTTTATTTACATTTAAATTTAGCTTTCGTTCCAAATTTTGTGTTCGTTCAGATAAAAAAGAAATTAAACAAGCACAATTATTCAAATGTCCGTTGTTAATAGATAGTAAGTGATTTTTAATGATAGGCATAGTATAGAAAGTCGTTCTCGCTTATATTGCTAGGTGCCACATTGAGTCCGGTACCAGAATGTGATTATGAAAGTTCTGAATTGTCATTGTCTGATGCCGCGCTCAATGGTGTATTGGTGAAACGTTCTAAGACAAATTTTATTAGTAAATCGGAAGTGAAAGATATGTCGGGAGTAAGTTTAAATATTATTATAGACACAAGATATGGTCTAATATGTGATATTTCTGTCTTAGAGCATTGTAAGAAATACTCCGACTCTTGTTCACACAACTGCTACGCACGATCATTTATCATCGAGATATAATCGTCAAATTTCAAATGCAACGGATTATTATAAACGCATTGGTAGTGGTGGTGATGATTCTAATTACACATTTGGAGAAGGTATGGAACGGATAGATTATTCAAATGTCAGTTCCTAAATTTATGTACAATTTAGAATCTTCATTGGCTGAGCAAGACACAGATAAAAGTGAAAATCCCATAGTTACAGTTCCGATCTTAATTCGAGATTGTAGTTCACCAACAGACACAGCATATGATCAAAATTATTCGATGCAATCTGTTGTTGAGGTTCTTTTTTTAACCATCTGGCTGCTGTTTAACAAGTTTATGAATATAATCCTTCTTGTTCTAGTATTCAAGTACACCTGTTCATCCAAATTATTTACAATCGAGACATCGTCTACATGAAGATAACACATTTTCCACACCAGCACCAAATTTAGTGTCATCAAAAGGTTTTTTGAACACTTTTCAGGCGCCGATTGCCGCAGGAGGTAAACAACGTTCTCCATCACATTTAGAAGATAAGGTCATTAGTTCTAACCCAACTACAAAATTCGATTCGTCTCATGAAACATTCAGAAGTAGAAATATGACTCTAACGACTGGATATTGCCAAACTGACTTTACACCATTAGATCCAAACTTATTACTGAAGAATACTAATTTATTTGAACCATCGTTAGACCCATCATCAGTTACTGCACCTCGCGACGGTATGACTGAACATTTATATCGTTATTCACAATCGGTTCAATTGTCAACGTATGACAGCGGTTTTATAGATGATAAAAGCGATCAAAGTATAGTATCCTCTTCATCAAACTTATCAAATACGAAACAGACGAGACCTCTATCATGTCCTGATGGAAAAATATTACAATCGGAAAGTGAAACATCGCCACATACTGATGTAGTAAGAAGGAAAAGTTTTACAACACAAACATTTCCAGAAAGATACCGTTCATTATCAGGTGAACAACAGCAAGAGCAACAACAAGAAGAACAAACTGTTGATAAGAAATTAGAGCAATTGCTTGAACGACAAAGATTAAACCAACAACTACAATTAGATGAATTACAAACCAATTTCTCCAACACCACAGATCATAATACGAATACTAATAGTTCAAGAGAGGTGAAAACATCAGATTGGCGTTCTACGATACGCTCAAAATTACGTCAAATAGCAAATAATCCAATTATGGGAAAAAAAATAGCCAATACTCCGGAGATAGGAACAAAACGAGTCTCTTTTCCAGGTAAATCGAATGGAAGATTCAAATATTTTTAAACTGAAAAAAAAGCTACTATTACTTTCATTTTAGATCAACATGTCACAAAACGTTTTTCCCCTCCTCGTTTATCACCATACTTTGGTTCATCATCACAAGAACAATGTGTTTCACCCGCACAAACGGCCATACTAGATCAAACTACAACTGATCTCTCGAACATGTTTACTACATACGACTTATCACCAAGTTCATTACAAAAGTTCAATAATAATGGAGATTTCGATAAAACTCAGTTAGGAAATCGAATGCGTTCATTCTTCCCTGATTATGATGAAAAACCGACAACAGCCTTAGTGACAAAAACTAGTAATAATCGCAATAGTTCTGAACCGAGTTCATTGTCCGATCAAGCTCATCAGCAATCATCCCCTGTTCTACGTGATTCATTTACTACAAAAGCGGCCATCGATGACGATGAAGATCAACCTGTAATTATGAAAAATTTACATTCTGTAAAATCATTGAAAAAATTTTTTGAAACCCGTATGCAACGTCAAGGTTTTCCGGGTGAAATGAATCTATCATTAGCATCATTCATAGATAATAGACAAAATGAACAACAACAATTAAATGATCATGAGGGAATGAATGGCGATACAAATGAACAATTTTATAGTAGTACATGTGTAATTTCAACTCCAACGACGGATAGTCACAACTTGAGTAATAACAATAATACAATGCCGATTGATGACAAACAACAGTCAATGTCGGTAAAAACAAAATTGTTAGATAGTCTAAGACGAAAAAAACGAATAACAACGATGGAATATTCAGATCAAACAAGTCAATCATCGTCTAGAGGTAAGATTAAATCTGTAATTGGATAATATTTTTGATTCTATCTTTACTTATGTCTAATAATTTGAAATTTCTGTTTGCTTTTATTCAAACTTTGAAAGTGACATCTACCGTTTTTCTATAGATTTTGATGATGACGAACAGCGTCAACGTCGTTCCACAACTCCAGCACTATCGGCTTTAGTTGAATATTCTGATTTATCGACGTATGATTATGTACAACAACAACAACAAAATGAACAACAATATATTTTGAGTTTTGATCACAATAATCAATTGACAATTTTGAATAATGAAGTGAAACCACATCATTTATTTTCTAAGAATAAACAGTTACAACATTCACGACGATTTCGTTCATCATCAAGTAATTCAGCTGAAAATAATTCGGATATTCCGCTGCAGTCGTCACTAGCCCAATCACAATTAACGAATGTTTTGGTGAAACGATCTTTATCACACGATCGTAACTATTCACGTTTTAATCGTTCATCGGATGGATGTTTTATTGAAAAATGGAAACAAGATGTTGCAAAAAAGAAACAAGAAGATGACGATGATGATAATATATCGGAAAGTTCAATGTTATGGCAAGCTAAAACACGTTTAGAAACATTTGTTAAAACGACACGTAATCATCATCAACAGAATCTCAAAGATGTTGATCAGTACTCTATCTCAGATAATAATCATCCAATATACGGTAGTGATGATCGATGCAGTCAAATAACTTCAAATAACAGTGATTATTCAAAAAGAATAATTATGGCTGAAACAAGATTTTAGCAGTTAGTATTTGTTCTTTTAATTAACGAAAATTATTTTATTTGTAACGGTGTTTTTTTTCTTACTGACGTAAAATAAAAACTTGACTATAAACGCATTTGTTTTTGCTTATTTACTTGTTATTCCTATTCCTTTTTGTTTGTTTTTTTATTTAATTAAAATAAGTCAAAATTAATTATACGCTGTTAGCATTCATGCCACGCTGCATTTTTATCTAATCTTGATGTGAAATATCGGACATATTTCTAGTCATGACACCCGGACATGAATTGTTTATTTTCATACATGAGCAAATCTTAAGAGAAATTCTTCCCAGATAATACAAAGCTTTTCTTGTTAAACATAGTTTTTCCATGGTAACCGACGGTGCTGATCACGAATTTAATGTTCGTTCGAACCATTAATGAATTCCTGAATGGATCTTTCAAAACCTGGTCTCACCCATTACGAATCTACGAACCGAGAGACTATGATCATATCACTTTGTAGCGCTCGTCAAGTGGCATATGTAGAAAACTTTTCTTAGGTATTGAGCAAGCTTTAACGGAGATACAAAAATCATCAATTCATTAATGGTCCGATCGAACATCAGATTCGTGATCAACCCAGTCAGTTACCATGGAAAAACTAGGTTTAACAAGAAAAGTTTTGTATCACCTGGGAAGATTCTCTCGATAGACAATAGGGTACGAGAAAAAAGGTTACTATTAATAGTACTATGTACGTTAAAATATTAGGTAAGAATCATTTTCATTTATTGATAAATCAATTCGTTAGATTATGATCAGCACCAAAAGTTATTTTATGATTTTTGGTGTAATATGGTGCTGTTTAATTTCACTTACTTTTACCTTTTTTTTTGATAACTTTGCGCGTCTATATTTTTGATCCGAGTTAAGAGTTTTGAACTATCATTCATTAACCCTTATAAGTGTAATAAGTTGATAATCACCACAGCTGTAAATTTACTTTTTTACCATCAGAACGAGCAAGAGTCGAGCTATATTTGACTATTTCACAGCAGGTATTACAGATACTTGACATCATTTATATAATAAACAATAAAGATTTTTAGAAAAGATACAACTTACAAAAATGCAGATAATTTTATAAATCTAAATTCATGAGTAAAGCAGTCGCACATTTAATCCAATGTTCAGCAGGCATCGGACCACTTTTCAATTCAACAGCTAGGATAAATGAACCAGCACGAGCTGGATTATAATAACAAGGACAAGTATAAAGACCTAGAAGAAATAAAGCTAAGAAAATCAAAACTATCTTTCATTCGACATTATTACCTCTTATTGACTTTTTCTTATGTTCAACTGGTTTAAAATGTATTGTTGGCATTTTGGTCACTAATTGCATTGATTGTGCTTCTGTTAATGTACCCATTTTTTTATCCCATCCTGCTCCTTCTAAGTAGAGACCGGTGACATAGATACCCTCTTCAATTTCAGGTAAATATTTATCATCTGTTTGTTTCATCACTTCAAATTCCCATGATAACAAATCGACAGCGATCTAAACAGGATATATAATATATTTTAACAGATATATCCAGGTGAGGCATAAACATTTGATTATACTTGATCTTTTCTTGATGTTCTCTGTAAAACAGCTGTAAGAAAGGCCGTGGGATAACTGAATGCTGATATCCAATAGACCTGTGGTAATCGTGCGTGTTCAACCCATGAATTGAAAAATTCCATACGTTGACGTAAATCTTGAAACCAAGCACCCAATGGCTTCATTGAAAAATAGGTCTAAAAAAAGATAATAAATACATGTAGCTGAGATCTTAGGGTGTCTTCAATTTGTTTATACTTTCTGCCATGTTGCTGGCAAACGCCCTTCGTAAATACATTTGAATATTTCATCTAAGTCTGATGACATAACCACTAGACCCTCTATACTTTTTAATAAACTTTTCAATGATAAAGTGATATTTGATAGTAGAGTATTGTATCGTTCAGCCTAAAACAACTCACGAGTGTAAAGAAATACGTGAATGGAATGATTTCATGAAAAGATTAGACACACGGCATAAAACTGCCAAATTTGGAATCACGATGTCGAAAAACTGTCCTCGAGTAAGTTTGGTATTGTCCAAGGTATTGCCACAATCAACATAATAAAAAAATACACTCTAATGGTGTAGTTTCAGAGACATTCCAGAGTTACCTTAAAATCGTTTTTTGACGTTGTGTTTCCAAATCTGACAGTTTTACTTTTTACCCTTTCAGAAAGTCGCTCGTACCATATGCATTAGAAAAATGATCATATTAGAAAATCTACTTATTTAAGCTTCTGTAAAACTATAGCTGACGATACCTACCTCTTGAAATAGAACAACAACCAATAAGGAAGTGTCATTTAACATGTAATTCGTTACTGCTTCTATATTAATTTCATGTGGCATCGATTTTAACATATCAGCAGCCGCTTTTCGAACCTAAGCAAGACGATTGTTTTAGAAAAATGTGTGCACAATTTTGCACTTCGATTATTAACTAACTTCATCTTCCACTTCTTTTTCAGCCGCTGCTGATGTTTTTTGTGGTAGAACAGCTAATAAAGTATCAAATAATATTTTTGATTCTTGAATCTGTGATGCAACATCAGCATTCGAATGTTGACCAAACGCTTCTGGATGATCGGTCCATGGCATTGAATTAATAAAATTTTTGTATATTTTCAATGAACCATCACTTGGTACATAGTAATAGGGTAATGACGACAATTTATAATAGGTAGTTTCAAGCATATCTTCTCGAATATAAGAATCAATGTATATTTGCAACAATCTCATGTCCCATTCATCGGTACAATGGCCACCATAGATAACAATTGCAATTAGGTATTTCAGTGCTTCAAATGGCGTCTTTTCGTAATCATCCAAATAGATTTGTAATAAATTTTCACTAATTTGAAAATCAGAATCATTAAATGAATAATTGACATTCCAACCCAATTGTAAAAACTTTTTACGTTCAATAATAATCGAATGCAAAAAGGTTAATGTAAACAATAATTTACGATATTGTTCGCCTTTTCGACAACGTTGAAATTGTTCTAATGTTATCGTTTCGTACAGACGTTTCATATTGGCTTTTATACCCTAGCGAGTAGATTGAAATAAATATTAATAATAACGGATAAACCGGAAGAAACGATAGTCTTCATATTTTCAACTTTTCTCTCTTTGTTAGACACAGAGGACATCTTTCTAATAGCAGATGGACATCAGAAGTTTTCGCTCATAAACCATTTTTTCACGAATAATAATCATTGCTTAGTCATCTTTAATACTTTTAAAAGAAAAAATAACCGTTTTTAGGATATTTTTTCCAAAAATCGATCTTACAAAAATTTGAATAAATAGCTATTCAATCCAGATCTAATTGTAATATATATGGTTTGATTCAATGGTTCGACGCATTGATTCTGAATATAATCTTATTTTTTTCTTTAAAGTGTTCCTCGGCTGAGAAAAGCTGCTCTATTTTATTTGCTCATTCTAATTCTGTATGTAAAATCAATAAAAATATTCTTTTAGTTCTGAAGGTTTCTGGGAAAACTTTCTAGAAACCAAAGAATTTTCTATTAGTTTTTTCAACATTTATTGAGCTTATAGTATATTTGCTTACAAATATTCTATTTTTGTGCCCGAGAACACGTTTAAAGCGAATCGATGGTATATGAAAAGAAAGACGACATTTTGAATCATCATCATCATCATCATCATCGAATACCCATCGCTATATAGGGCCGTATTCAAGATAATTGTTTTTCACTGTGTTTTGAGTTTGTAAATTATCAAGATTGAAGTGTCGCAGTATTTTCTCTATATTTTTTATTTTTACAGCATATAGTCAAATGTTCGGTATGCTTTTCGTAGAGAACGAAATGGCGAATCATCTGCAACAAAAATGAACTCTAGGGGATCTAAAGGAGAGGAGAAAACTTGAAAAGATGGTTACCGTCATTTTTTCTGGTCTCGTTATAAGACTACCTTTGGCGGTTCATTTGTGATTTTCAGTCCAGTTTGTAAAATAGATATTGGAAAATTTGGCGTTGGACTTGAGCTTAACCATAAACGAAATTCATTGTGAACAGCAGCTGTTTGTAACTGTTCGACAATTTTGTCCAATTCAGGCAGCCAACTAATTGATAAATGGCAATTGGCCAAATATACCCAATGACCCTAGAAAAGAGACATATAATTTTAAACGAATTAAAGGATGAAACTAATATCATGAAAATCGCATAACTCTTCTACTGCAGTGTCAGTACATTACCAGTTTTCCTCTTTTTGTTTATCTTGTAATATTTCACAAGGAATATCGCAGAATCCTAGAAAACATCTTATTTTTTAGGACAAAGTGTGCTCTTCGAATTCTACCACTAACTCGATTAGAAATACTCGACTCTGTTTGTGCTAGATTTGAAACACCAAGAGCTTCTAAAATACTTTCATTTGTTTTTAGGGCTCTTGGTAGTTTAAATATAGCGTAAACAGAGTCGAGTATTTCTAATCGAATTAGTGATGACATTTGAAGAGCACACTTTATCCTACAAAACAAGACGTTTCTCAGGATTCTGTGATATTCCTCATGAATATTATGAACAAAAAGAGCAAAACTGGTAGCACAGTTATGCGATTTTCATGAATAGTTATACCTTTTTCATCCCTTGCTCTAGTAATTTTCTCGCCACTAGCGCTTGTCCCTGTCCCAATGATAATGAAAAAAATCTTGATGTCATTTTTCGTTCTTCTACCAATTGTTGTAATTTATTTGATGGATCCACTCCTGGCGACAATACAAAAATTAATGGTGAACGTTTATCTGAATCTTCCAAAATTGAAGTTAACTGTAGTATTGGTGGTTCAACAAATTTTGAACCAATATTGTGTGTTACAAAGTTAAATACACAAATAGCAACACGATCTGGTCTCAAACATCTTATAATTAACATTTTACCAAATTCATTTATCAATGAATCAATAGTACCCGGTAATGATGTTTCTTCTGCTCTCTCACTTCGATACCATTCTTTCCAGTCTTTTGGAAATTGATCAAATGCATCACGTAAAAATCGATAATCAGGCATACGTATTAATTCTGACATTTGATCCCATTTTGTCTCGGATAACCATTGTGGAAATGGATTTGAAAATTGAGTATCACGATCAATAACCAATGCTGATGCACGTAGAAAAAAATTATATTCATCATGATTCAATCGCCCATCAACGTCCATTATTTTTGTACACATATGAAATGAGAATAATAATTTATGACGTTCGAAAAGTCCACGACAACCATATCTGAAATTACGTTTCTATTTTATTATTATTAAATATAATAAAATATAATAATACGTACGTATATCATTATTATGAAATACGTTTCTATTTTAGCTTCTATATGCTGACTTCAGTACAGCATATATGGCTTACTCTTAATTCGTCCCATTTTTTAATACTTATTCTACATAAGTACTCTTATATTTAACTTAACTTCCAGAAATGGAAACAAAAAAATATTATTAATACATTGTCTTTAGTGCATCTAAATTTTTACAGGCCTTTCGCATTTTATGGCTAATTATGGATTTGTTAACTTTCCTTTTTCATGAGTGTCAAGTCAATTTTTCAATTTTTCATCAATTTCATTATAAATTCTCTTACATTTGCGAGTTTGGACTTCAGATTCTTCTGCGTGATGGTGTTAAAAGACATGTTCTTGACGTAATAGATCAATAAATTCATAAAAAAATGGGACGAATTGAGACTAAAAGAAGTGGGACGAATCGTTTGGGACGAACTGAGAAAAAAATTTGTGAGACGAATCGAGAGGACACGGCATATATCGATACTGACCTATAAACAGCATAAGTATGATAATCATTTAATTTTTCAATTCGTTCATTCAATTTCAAACTTCTGGGACTTTTTTCGATTGATAATATAAATAATTGAACATAAGCTTCAAGACTAAATTGATACATTGGATCGATATGACCTAAATCGTCTGAAATATGCAAATATTGTAGAAAGTAATTAGTTCTGAGAAAGAGGACGTTAATAGATTAAGTTAAAACTTACTTAATATAAAAAATAATATTGATGCCCGTTGTGCCACTGATCGATATTGTTCTCGAGTAATATCAATTTTTGCTTCTGTTTCTTCATTTATTTTCAATGTATCTTCAATATCTTTTTGTGATTGTTTTGATAAATCTAGAGATTCAAATACTTTGACATTTTCTAATAGGGAACCTTTAGTCTCTGATAATAATCTTAAAAATTCTTGCTCCAATTGTTCTTTTTCTTTACGTTTACTGGCCATGGTGACAATACATTTATCTTTTTGTGCTTCTAATTCGGGTTTTTCTTTACGTACGACAATACCTAACAGTTGTTCTTGTAAACCTTGTTCTTTAATAGCAAAATTAATGATATTTACTTTTGAATATATTTCCGGTTTATAATGTGGATTCGACAAACGTGTGGCCATATAAAAACGAAATTGTGAATTATAATTAATTTCACGATCACCAAGTGTCAATACATAATGGTCACCTAAAATAAGAACAAAACTATTGATAGTACAAAAAGAAAATCAAATCTATTACTCTTACCAACTTTTCTAACTTTTTTATTCAATATTGGATTTAATGTTTCTGGCAAATCTTCCAATATATTTTGACATAAACATGGATTGCCTGTTTTAACACATTCTTCGATTATTTTCATATAATCTCTCGTTTGTAGATCAGTTATTTTTAAACCATTTAATTTTTCCATTCGTTTGATCCATTTTGTAGCTTGAGATTGAGGATCAATAAATAATGGTTGTGACCATGATCTAGTGGTAAGAATAGCATTTTCTGTGGAAAAATTATCACGTGGTAATCCTTGAATATTCCATTCACGAATTTGCGTCGGAGTTATCATAAACTGTGAAAAATTATAATCTTTTTTATATCGGATACCACGACGTTCTAATTCTTTAATCCACACGTTTTGCATAATATCATCACGATAATCTGACAAAAATAGACCCATATAGGATAAAAATGCACATGCTAATAAACAATTTCCAACTAAATCCAATTGATTTTCTAGTAATGTCTAAAAAGTGAAAATATTATCTTAAAATATATCTATTTTTATTATGTTATTTATCTTTTTCCATTGATTTACTTACGGCACATGTAATATCCCAAGTTGCTCGTTTTTCTGTTACACCATCTAATAATTTTGTTGCTCGATCAAGAAACATTGCTGTTTCTTCAGCATTTCGTTGTAATTCATTTTTTTCTTTAATTTTTATTTCATATTCAATTCTTAACTCTTCAATTTTCTTTTGTATACCAGCTAATTCATCTTTGGATTCTTGTAATAAATATTGTTTTTCTTGTAATTCAGATGCTGCTTTTTGATAACGTTCTTTTTTCGGTTGTACAATACGATAGATACGTGCATAACTTTCAACAGCTCGAATCCAATTACATAAAGCACCAGCTGCACCCGAAATACTTTTTACTTTTTCAATAGTCATTTCAGGATCATTTATAAACGGTTGTATTTTACGTAGTGTACGATCCGAAATTTCATCGGCTTTAAAAGTCTTAAAAGAATATAGTTTTATTTAAATCTAAATGATTATTAGAAAGAAGAATAGTCTGCATATTCAACTTACAAGTAATTTTCCGATAAAATTAACATCAGCTATATCACGTCGAGCTTCTTCCCAAGAATCTTCTTTTCCTTTCAATATCATTAAACCACGCATAACACTAAACATACAGGTAGACAATTAATTTTAAAATCATGTTATATATTCATTGAGCGACTGATCAATCACCTAGCTACTGCTGCTGGAGGTCTAACATCTGAAAGAAAAAAGTGAAAAAGATAAAATTTTAATCGTAATAACAAATCAAATGGAATACTAAATGTCTACTTACAAGCTTTCACTTCACCAATTTCTTTTTTTGTTAATTTTTGCAATGCCTAAAATGAAAAATACGTGGAAACTATCAGAATTTATGCTTTTTCTCATTCTACAACCTCATTCGCTTTTGCAAGTAGTGGTTCAGCCTCTGAAAGTTCTTCTTGTGCAGCTTGTGCTGTTGTTTGACAACGTATTTCTTCATCAGCAATACGATGACCAAACGCTTGTACTTGCTAAAACCAAATAAAAATCGTCATAAAAATATAAAACAGTATATTTTAGTTCTATCTTACTCGTTCCCGTTCACTAGCACTATTTTTTTGTTCAACAATTTTCAATAAAAATGCTTCACATTCTTTTTGTAAATTTGCTACTAAAATTTTTTTCTTCTCTAATTCCAATGATATTTCCGCTACTTTTTCACGTGTTTCAGCTACTTTAGCTATGCCAGCTTGTAAACGATTATATTCAAATAGAATTTTGGAACGTTCCAATTCAAATATGCTTAACAAAAATAAAATGATTTGGGTTTCAAAATTTATATCTTGCTACGTGTGTTAGAATGACTAAATAATTACCACCATTCTTCCTCGCATTTGGTCTCCCTATCTGTCAATTAAAACCAAGCACGGGTAACAGACGCTTCACAAATACATCATAGTACTCGTACTAAATAGTTGAAATATTTTTTTACCTTCTTCCTAATCTTTAGACTTTTACTAAAGTTTTAGCCAGCAGTGTACGAGTTCCATCAATTTTGGAATTTTTACTTTTTCGCGAGAATTTTAATTGACAACAAGAATTCTACAGAAAATTTCAACTAGAATTTCAAGAATTCGTTTTGAGCATTCGGAGTTCCTGTCCAATCAGCAAAGTTCTCGTGTAGTAGACTAACATTCTTGTGCGAAAAGTGAGTTTTGTAATTAGTAAAAGTCGAACATTTTTCTCATTCTGACGACTAATATTGCATATATGAACTATTAGTTTATTGCACGATTGTATCTGATGGGGTAACCTGCCGTTATAATGCATTGATACTATACCGTTTTTCGCTCAAATGTTAGAAAAAGCCGTCTCTGCTTAGAATCATAGAATATTTGGATAGTTTCAGTAATCACACACCGGACGTGGAGAAGTGACTAAGCTATAATCATGCAGGAATTAAAGATATTTGTAAGTAACTTAGTAACTCTAATCTTTGAACAAGACAAAACTAAACGTCAGAAGACTTGATAGAAGCAGTAAACATTATTAATATTGGTATGATCGAAAATTGTATAATGATAGATCTCGAAGACAGCAACAACCAGAAGAAACTAAACAAAAAAGCAAAAGAATTATAGAGCAAAAAAAATCGCAGAAAAAGATATACTTATCTGAAGAGATCTTTTTTCTAGATGAAAATAAAATGAACAAAATTAAATCAAATAATATCAAAAATAACTAAATGAAAACAAATAATATTTAGCATACGATCATATAGTATATTAATGGTATTATTCCTTCTCTCTTTTGAAAAAATTTTTGCTTTTGAGCTTAATATAGTCTAAGGTGGAGGACAGTCTGGACTTCAAAATAAGACCATTCTCGGTACTCCACGAATTTTTTTCTGAAAAAAATTAGAAGTTTTTCAACTTTTTGCTCAAAAAGCTGATAAATTTTAATATTTCGACTCGTAAAAGTTTTTCTTCTTTTCAGTGGTTCTAAAAAATTTCTCATACATAGCATAATAGAAAAAAGTGTTCTCTTCTCGATGAGACCTCTCCCGAAATTTTCCAATGGTTTTTTACGAAGATATGAACATCGCCACAACTATCATGAAAGTAGCGACTATATTATCTATCATACTGAAAATACGAGTACTTCCGACTCGAGTGCATTAAAAACTTCAACCGATCAATATGAAAATTTTACCGCAGATACCTGGGATTATATCTCAAATCTCAAAGCTTTTTTCACTTATAACTTTTCCTTTTTGAGTAATAGGGTTTTTAAAATCCCCATGAAAGTTCCTTTATTTCTTTTTATAACTCGAAAAGAGTTCCAAGAATCTGTGATAAGTTTTGAGGAAATCGTAATATAACAAGATTAAAAGCTGAATTTCTAGTCAACCACAATTCAAAGTTTGTCACATATGTTTGACTAAAAATATGTTGATTTTCTTTTTTCATGTTCTAGCTCTGGTAATAAACAACTCAGACTTTTACTTTCACCAACAGAATGACAAGAAGAGAGAATGCTCTTAATTAATGTTGTATTATAATTCAAATCATTTTTTCTAAAATAAATATCTTTATTTTTAATTTTTATTACTAAAGTGATCAATGTGATGTTCCGTTCTTAATGAAAATAGCTAAATGATGTATCAAATATCAGCTGATATCGTTCGTGTAGATGAATGTTATACGAAGATACATTTATACATCGAACAGAACTATAAATTATAGTTATACGTACATTCCATAATTTGAAACAAATTGTAAATAATTTGTTGGTGTAACATACACCTCTCGTCTTAATTCATCTTTCATTCTTTGAGCTAAGACTTTTGTTGTTGTATGAATAATGGCACATAAATCAGCCAAATACCGGTGAATCTGTAAAATAATATTAATATAATAAGATAATTCATCATCATCGAGAAATGTTTCTTACATTTTCATTATTTTCAGCAAATTTAAATTTGGCTAAATAACGATGTGATACTTCAATTAAAGCTTCATAGGGCCATTCAGAAAAATAATCAATTGTTGTACAATTGACTAATGCTGGATACATACGAATATAATTTCTAGAATTAAAACTTAGTTAAATAAATTTATTGAGAATAACTTTTGACATTTGCTTCTGGGAAAATATTTAAAAGAGAATAGTTTTTCACTTTTTGGAGAACGAATATTTTTTATAGCTGAAACGAGAACGGATGAATGAAAAGAGAACGGTTACATTGTTTGGAGAACGATTTTGAATTTTTCTGATGAAAGTAAAAATAAAACATGTGGTATAAACTATGATAACTACAGTAGAGAATTGTTAGATTTAGACTGTACATGATATGACTGTACAACGTGTTCGTGATAAATTGCATCATCTTGCATTGGGAATAATAATGCATTTTGGATATTATCATGTTCAAGATCCGTCAAAATTAGAACAGTTTGGTAGAAAACGAGATCGACCAAAGAAGGCACGCTTGGTATTGTTGAAATAAAACACGGTATTTCATACATTGAAACATATTATTTGGTTCTTGCTTCAAAATTTACTTCTTGGTTTTTGACTTTTTTGTATAACATGTACATTTTACTGATTCGATAATTTGGAAATTTTCATGATGACTGAGGACGAACATTGCCAAAGATCAGGAGACTAATGAATCATACATACAAATTCAAAAATCGTTCTCTAGATAATGTTAACCGTTCTCTTTTCGTTCATTCGTTCTCGTTTCAGCTATAAAAAATATCCGTTCTCCAAAAAGTGGAGCACCGTACTCTTTTAAATTCTTGTCCTTTTCTTCTTCTTAGTGTTTAAACTCTAACTGAATGATGATTAATTATTCATTGTATCATGTGATTTCCAAATATCTATTCTCAATTATTACCTGAATGTTTCACCAAATGGACTCATACAAATAACAATATGGAGATTTGATTTAACACGTTCAAGGAAAAATTTGATCACATTTAAATTTGTATCCGATATTCCTTGACGTAACATTACTCCTTGAAGATTACTTCGAATCTACCAAATATAAAAATAAAAAATGTTAACAATAATGAAATGTACACAACTATTGTCCGTTTAATAATCCGTGATCATTTTTTCAATAACTTTTGAATAGTAAAAGCTAGAGAGCTGTGATTTTCTGATATGGAAAGAGGTACGGAGCATCTTTTCACAAGAGGAAACCTTTTTAGAGATTTTTTCAAAAACGATTTTTCAAGAGATTTTTGGAAAACTCGTATATAATGAAAAAATTTAAAATGCCAAACTATTGATTTTTTTTTCATCAGTAGATAGAAGAAAGTGTCCAGTTCTCTAGCTTTTACTATTCAAAAGTTATTCAAAAAATGGTCAAGGATTATTTTGTTTTTAAACAGACAATAATCTTGAATATTTTTCTACTTCTTGTATATCTTCATTTCGAAATAAATTTGGCACTTCGCCACTATGCAATAATGCATTTATATCTTCTAAGAATATTGAATCAACAATTTGTGTATCAACAAATAAAAATACGGTTTCACGATTATTAATACCGCATAGTTTCATTAAACGACGAAGATCTTATTTCAAAAAAATAGAAATATAATATTTTTATTTTATTTTTAAATAGAATCACTCTGAATACCTTCTTTAAATTCCATATGACCATATTTTCTTCCAATTTCAATTTGAAACACGATAATTTCACAAATAAATGCTGCCAAACGTGTTAATGATTGTCGACCACTACCACCTACACCCAATATCAACATATTTCCTCGTGGTCGTCGAAATACTCGTATAAGTCTAATTATATGAGAAATAGCATCTTTAAACATAACTAAGTCCATTGAAATTATTAATGGTGTCTGATTATATTCTTCTAATGTTTTTATTAAAAAATTTTTCAATTTATTTTGATCTTTAATATCATCATATAAATTATCTGTACGTAATATATCAGTAAATAGAGGTTGTTCACGATTTGGACATACATTATGATAGACTTGATCAAAATAATGAGCCAATTTTTCCTGTAATATTATTTGAACAAATTGTTCATTATCTTTTACTGTTATAAATCGATCAGAATAAACACGATGTGCTTCATGTATCCATAATCTTAATATTTGTATTTTTGTTGTTATTAATTGTTTTGAACATAATAGAAGACCTTCAAACATTCGAGATATATCACGCATATTAAATGTATAATGAAGTTTTGTCGGAGTTGGAAGATATTTTTTCTCAACAGTTTGATATAAACTAACAGTAGCTTTTGTTATTATTGAATCCATATATTTTACTTCATCTTCAAAATCAACAAATTTCTGATTTAACATTGTACCAAAAATACGATGTATTTCCTGATCCTAAAATAAACATAAATATTAAAAATTGATTAACTAAAAATTTGCTAGTGAAATTACCATAGGAAATGTCATATTGATCAAATTAAATCTACTTTGAAAACGACGTGGTAATTGTTGTCGTCCACCATCTGCAAACAAAAATGAAATGTCAACTTTCATAATTCCATTGAAATTCGAAGAATTTTTAGCAAAATTGCCATAACCACCTCTTACTTCTACGCTGCAGTATCCCTCATCACTAATTCTATGAAAATTCAATTAGTTCATAAGAAGGATTTAAATACTACCGTATTAACGTAAAAAAATTCTTCCGATCAACTGATAGAATTTATGTAACAGAACGCGTTGCTCAATCCTAATAGAATTCTAAACACTGCTGAAGAAATCAAATTCTGAGAATTCTAGAAGTTTCAAAAGATGTCCAAAGTTTGACACTGCTGAAAGAGTCGAGTTATATATAAATTTTATTTAAAAAAAAATGTTGATACCTGGTGGACCCATAGTCGTTAATAAGAACAAATCCTAAATGTTGAATGAAATAGGAGTAATGAAAAGAAAAATATAAAATATTTGTTCTTAATGTCATACTTTAATATATTTCATTCCCTGTGTTTTTCGATCATACCAAAATTCATAGTCAATCCATGTTCGTATCAATTCTAATGGTGGATATGAACCATACAAATCTTTTCCTGACATATTTAAGTCATCAATAAATGAAACCATTTTACGACCATTCAATGGTACAAAGATATTTTTAGCACGTTTCTCTAAATTTGATTCAAATATGTCTTGTAACATTTTCGATGTTGTCTAAAGGAAAAGATAGATTTAGATCTTATGTGTATACTACAATGTATTCGATAGATATTTATACTTGTGCTGACATGTGTACAATCAATAGATTATATTGTTCAAGATCTAATTTATTTAGTACATTCTCACATACAGTTGTTTTTCCTGTACCAACGGCACCCACTAATAACATAGGATGTTTTGCTAGTACTAAACTTCTAATTATAAATTCATATCGAGCAGTATCTACGGTTGGAACAATAATTTTATAAAATGGTAGACTATAAAAAAAAGTGTTTTTCAAGTTGATATTCGAGAAAACTGAGAGATGTTTGTCATCGTTATACATAAAAATAGCTGTTTTTTTTTTTTGCAAAACTCCTAAGACTTGACATTTTTTAGAGAGCACATTCGTCTTCGGCACTGTTCAAAGATTATTGAACAGAATAAAGAAGAAATTTTAAAAAATCACTTAACTCTGATTCGTCAATTCAGTTTTAAAACCTTGAAAGTTTTTTCAAAATAATAAACGTATAAAACTTAATTTTTGAAAAGTACAATACTACATAAATTATAAAGATCGATCGTCTCAGACAATATAATAGGTCTCCATATCTATAAAAAATGTCAAATTCAGAGGTTCAAAAACAGTTTTACATAGATTTTAATCATTTTTGAAACTTATGATGATTATTGGCAGTGATTGTGAGAAAAAAAATCCTTTTCCATCTTTTACAATGGTTACGGTATTCAAAATAATCTACGTGACTAGCCATAGAAAATGTCACTCCAGCGCTGTTATCATACCAAATTGAGTGTCAGTTTGAAAATACATTAAGTTTCCCAGAATAGTAATAAAAATTATTATAGCGTTCAAAAACGGGTAAAAATCAATGTAAAACTGTTCGATTTTAATATTTAGTTTTCTCATATAACACGCTTATAGTAGCCTATGTACATTATACATACGTTCCATCATATATCCATCCATTTTTCAATGTTTCTTCCCAATGTATCCAAGTTCGATTTCTCATATCAACATAAAATTCAAATACTGTATCTTTGTTTGGAAATGTACCTAGAATAAAACAAAAATAGTAATTATTTCTTGTAATTTTACAGTGATGATCGTTGACCTTCTATTTCTCTAAATATAATATCAATTTTCTTTCGTCCTATATCGTCAACACTGGCTGCAATCGACCATAATAGACAAAAAACCATCCACATTTCTGTTATACGCGATATAATATCATTTTCAAGAAGACTCTGAACTTCTTCACTAAAATAAAATGTATCAAATAATTTTGTAAATGATATAATGCCATTTAATTCATGTATTGAAACTAATTCTTGACAATTTTGACGTTTTGATTTCATGATAATATCCAAATATTTTGTTAAAAAATCACGTAATTCGCTTTGTAAATCCTTGAGAAAAAAAAAAGTGTGAATAATTAGACAAATCTAGTAAGCATAAAGAGAACTAAAATATATTAATTTGGTAGTAGCATCGTAAAATATTAAAAATAAATTACAAATTAGATTATAGGACTCTAGTAAGAGAATCGTAATAGTATCGATGACAACATAAACGTATTTGTCTTATTTTTTTACATACTCCTTGTTTTCTAACTATCCACGATTCAAGATAGGGTTTCCAGCCCAGTTGCTCATAATCACAATAAACAATTCCCGCTCGAGATACGGTAGCTGGCGACGTAATTGATAAATCTTCTGTTTCAAATAATAAGACAACTTGTGATGGCATCGAAATACGTTCTCCATTGGCTAATGTTAATAATTTATTATCATCCATCAATGAATTCATACTTTCAATCCATGATGTATCCACAGGAGAATCAAATAAAATCCATTTTTCATCGGGTTTTTCATCTAGAATAAAACAGTTATCAATTATTTTGACATGATCTCATCTTCTATTCTATCCAGCAATCGAGTTGCATATAACAGGTAAAGGGTTGTTTAAAAAAAATCTTCATTTTCCTCTATTTGAAATTCCTAGAGAAATAATTTTCAACAGTCCCATATCTTTCCGCCTAATTCTATCTATTTCAAGAAACTCCAAGTTTGTTATAAACACTAATGTTTCGACTTTCTGACATCTTTTGCCTTATAAATACCTGCACAAACTTGTCTCATTATTGTCGATAATATGCCATCATTCCATTCGCTTGTAGCCAAATTAAATTCGCCATATAATTCACCTAATGTAACAGCTTTTGGATTTATTGGATATTCCTAAATGATATGAACAGTTTTCTCTTATAAAATTAAAGAAATAATGTATTATGTACTTACAGTTATTTTATTGAATTCAATTATGCCACGTTTATTTAATAGAATACATGAATATTTTAATAATTTCCATGTTGTTGTTTTACCTGATAATGTTTTACCAACTAACATAATTGAATGTCGAGAATTTCGTGTTTCATATAATTCAATAACTTTTTGAACTGTTATCGATGTTATTTGAAGATTATGATTACTCATTTCTTCTTCAATAGCTTCAATTAACTGTTAAATAATATGAAAATAAAAAATTAATTGATCTGAATGATGTATAGCATACATACGTTTGTATAATCAACTTTTGGTTGTTCAATATCAGGAAATAAATCTTCAACAATTCCTTTAAATAATGGTAAATCTTGCGCAGTCATTTTTGGTGCATTCATGTCAAACATAGCCAACAGTAAGACCTATAGATCAGACAAAAATTAAATAATTACCAAAAAACGTTTTCATTGTGTTTTTTTTTGTACGAAAATGTCTGTCACGTTGACTCACACACCTCATCATCTGTTAGTTTCACATTCGCACGTTTTTTACCACCTGCATATCTTAAAACAGCCTATAATAAGAAATAAAAGGACTATTAGACATAATATTCATTTCTACACAGTTTGAATATGAATTTGAATCCCTTAACTAGTTCCACAATTCTATCTATCATACACTAAAGATATATTGATGCTTTCTGACTTTTTTACATTTTTAATGAAACATAGTATATTCAAAATTATAGAAAAATTCTATAATTTTGAACATACTATGTAAAATGTTTTTATAAATTTTCTATAATTTTGAATATACTATGATACACTAAAGAATTATGAAATTTTTATAAACAATATTTATTCGGAAATATTTAATAACTAATCGATTAGTAGGTTTTATCTTGTTATTACACAAAATGTATATTCTTACTGTTAATGAACGTAAACCAAAATCATAGTGATCTTGTTTTGATAATTGTTGAGCGGATAATTGATATAACGTATATACTTTTCGAGCTAAATTCTAACCAAAAAAGCAATTTAATTCTATTATTTTTTGTAATATGTAAATAATACACATGTACATACTCTTGTTTTTTGAAAACCTTCGCTAAATAAAAATATTTCAGCAATATAAATTGAATCGGGTATGACCATTGATATTGGACGAAACATGCTTGTTAAATTATCGGGCAGTTCTGTACGACCAGTATAACCTATAATGACTCGAGTGCAAAAAATCTTTTGATATTATCGTTCATTTTTGTTCCATACCTGGATTCATGGTAATAACTAAAATGAAGAAAAACAAAAAAAGTTAAAAATGTTATTAAAATGATGGTCAACGATAACGACTCACATATCCCCACTTGTGATAATAATGAAATTTCATTTCCTTCAAATAAAAATTGTTTTTGTTTTGATGCTAATGCGGTTAATATCGATAATATTTGCTGTGCAACGACACTCAATACTTCAATATTAATACGATTAAATTCATCAAAACAACCCCAAGAACCACTCTACAGTAAAACGAACAAATTATCTTTAAAAATTCAAAAAACTACAAAACTAGGAAAAATACTATTTACTTGTGCCAAACCGGAAAAGATTTTACCCATTGATTTATAATCCATTGCGTCTGAACAATTTTGTACGACAACGTAGATTGCAAAATCTTTACCTAAATCTTTGATTGTTTCCGTTTTCCCAGTACCTAGATAATAATGAGGAACATTAGTGTAACATTAGATCATAGTTCTGTGTCTAATTACCGGCTGGACCTTTCGGTGAACCACCTCTAAAGAGATGTAATGCTGTTGTTAATGTAATGAAACATCGATCTGTTAACGGTGATACCACTAGACGTGATGTACACCCTAAATATTCATAATTATATCGAAATTTTGTTATTGTTTGACGAATAATACACTCTTCTTGACTTTCATAACGTTCCCAATAGAATCTTAATTGCATTTGATATTCGAATGCTTGTGAATCGATTGTGTTTGATTTAATCAATTTTTCGATAATATCACGTCCATGCACTTCTTTTGTAATTAAACTAACTATACGTAAACGTAGAACATTATTCAATTGTAGACGTACCATTGTGGAATATTTATCAAGAATTTTTAACTACAAGAAAAATCAATTGATTTTAAAAAAAGACATTTATTTGGGTCCAACGAAATCAAACATGTTCATCCAGTATAAACATATGCTTTTTCTAGTCCAACTTTTGTCGCAGAAAGTGATACTTTACTTGAGTTCTAAATAAACGTTTTAGAGGTTTAGTTGATCCATCCGCTTTTGCTGTATGTAATGCTTTTGTAGTGGCCGATGTCCATTCAATTTTACTCGCTGTTACACAACACTATACGAGGAAAAAATATCTTAATTAAAATGAAATATATGTTTGTTTTGATCAACTATTACTTGACTCGGCCAATCTCTAACCCATTTTTCTCGTTTGCCAAGATTTTGTCTTAGTGCTGCTAAAGTATTTTTTAAATATTCTCTAATAGATAATTGCATTTTAATTTCTAAGTCTTTTAACCATAATTCAACATTTCCATCTAATGATATACTGGCAATTAAATTGACTTCTTCACCTTCATGTGAGATCATTCCATTTGCAATGAACGTTTTTTTCATTAATGAACGTAAAGTTTTAATACCTTCAAATAACTTTTTCAATTGTGGTTGAATTAAATCTGGTTGTCGAGATAAACCTAAAATTTCTACTAATTCTTCGTTTGATATAAAATAAAATCTTGGAAATATACGACGTTTTGTTTCTAAATAATCTTCCATTTTCTTTTGAATTTTATCTAATAATTTTAATAAATCTTGAATTTTATCAAATAAATCTGAACAAGAGATAAATCATTAATTAGATAAAAAGAAATTTAGAAATGATTCTATATACTTAGTGTCGTTGTTATTCTTAATGCTTTAGGATTCTCTCTTATTTTATTAATAATATCTTGCCATGTCGTATCAATATATTTAAATTCAGCAGCTTCACGTGGTAATTGACGTTGAACATCTTCAGATGTAAATATACCCTGCAATAAGAACAATAGAATTAAATATAAACAGATTCTAAAATAACATACTTCCATATAAAGCCATTGTCGTTGTACATCGAGAAGACCGTCAATCAATTCGGATACTTGTGCAATACTTTTTTCCCAATAATTAACTTCTGTTTGAAAAGGTTTAACATGTCTAGTACCTTTCATTGTTGATATTTGAGCTGTATGTTCTTCAACGAATTGTATGATATCATCTGGAGCTCTATGAAAACGATTGATATGATGATCAATTCAATAGTTATTTGTGATGAGACATTTTCTTGCAGATGATAAACTAACATCTAGGAATAGTTGAAAATTGTGATGTATTATTGAATACTTACTTTAATCTGTAAACATTTGCTTTATGTAAAATTGTATCAAATTTTAGATTCTCCCATATATCAACAATTTTTTCCAAAATACGTTCAATAGAATATTCTTTAGTGGCATTTTCGGATATTTCTGTTAGTATTTGAATATTTTCTTCACTAAAAACAAACAAAAAAAACTAGTTCCTAGCTAGTTTAATTAGTAATATTCACATACAAATGTAAATCTAATATTTTTTCTAATGTAAATTCTTTTGATTCTTCGTTAAATGATTTTTCTGTTTCCAGTTTTATTTGGTTCCAATGTCGTGGTCTCATGTGTGGATTATGCAAAGAACTAATTAAAGGCATTGTACGCCGTAATGTATGAATTTGATCACGTAATGAATCTAATATCTCCCATTCTTTATCCTAGAACAAAAGAAAACATTTATCACATTTGTACACAAGTCTCGATCGCTGTCTTTGTAAGAGACTATAGCAGAGAGTTTTATGATCATATCGACATTGGTTTAACACTCATATGCTCTTTTTCCCATTCTAAATGCGTGTATTCGAATATATACTCTGGTAGAAAATAACAATTGTAAGTATGACATTTATAGCTATTAAGTTAGTAATATGAGACGTCGATATTTATGGATAATGTCCTGGAGTCCCAGGAATGAACTATTAGTTTATAGCACAATTGCATCTGATGGCATCATGAGGTTATAATGTATCGCTACTATACCGTTGTTCGCTCAAATTTTACCGGAAATTGTCCTACCCAAGAAGGAACCACAGCAGATGTCTAACTTTTTCTCGAAACATAGATGATTAAAGGTAATTTTTGATGCTGGTTACGAACTGGATATCCGTTCGTATCCATATGATCTTTCGGCATGGATCTTAAAGTGGTCTCTAGCGATCCATCTTCAAATCCAAGAGGAAGAGATTTTAATTTTTTTGTCTTGTAGAGTGTGTCGGATTACACGTATGAAAAAATCTTCAGACATAAACATAGAATTTTGGCTGAGCGGGAAGAATCTTACTCTGATAAAGATAAAATGTCAAGTTTTTGCAGTAAATCGGAATATAAATTCCTTCAACTTAGCCAAAATTCTATCTTTATGGTTGGTATGTTCCGAGGAAAAAGTGGTTTGACATCTAGGGTGGTTTCCGCGCCAGTTCTGCAAAATCCATATCTGGTAATGTATAGCGGGAAAGTGAAAAACAGAGGCCCAAAATTTCTATATGAGTATCAGCAACAGGGTTGTCATCTGAGGCACCATAATCATCGTTTTTCGCCTTATTGGTGCTGATTATGGCATCTCATGTGGCGACATTGATCAACAGATTCTGTTTCCACTCTTACTTTATAGTCTCTTGACATTTTAAACAATTTTTTGTAATAGGATTGTGCAAAATCATCCAGTTCATCTATACGTAGCTCTTTAAACTCTTTTGTTTTCCAAGTTGCTAATAATTCATATTCTTTTGCCATTAACCATATTGATTTTAATATTTCAATATCCTACATTGAAGAAAAGTTGATTTGCCAAAGAACGATGCTCTTATATTAAACATACTTTTTTAATATTTTGTAATTCTTTGGATACAGGCATATCCAAATTAAATATCCGATACGCAATTTTCAATCGTTTTTCATCATTTTCTATTCCAGCTATTTGATTTTCAATTGATTCTATTTCACTTAATGCCTTACATATAAGATAATAACGATAGTGAACAGACAGAAAATTATGATAGACAAATTATTCTTACAGTATGTACAGCTATTTCGGCACCATGTGGTCCTTTAATTTTTAAAAATTTTTGTAATTCAATTATTTGATTTTGACATTTTTCTTGTTCTTTTTGTAAAAGAACTTTCATTTCTTCCTGTAAGAATATGTTATATTTGAGTTAGGATATTCAGCGTGTGCAAGAGAGATTAAGCTTACTTTGACACGTTTAAATGATGTAGTTGACTCCTCTAGTATTAATTTATAATTACTCCACATACGAGGTAATGTTCGATGAAGTTCTAACAGCTAAAAAGCAAAACAAAATAAAACAGTGTTTCAATCAAATGATTTCTTATGCTACAATATCCATGTAATACGTTGCACTTCAAGTCTTAAACTGTTTGGCTACGATATATAACAATGACTATGTAACACTATGAGTTATTTTTACTTGTTGAACTACTAGTGTGAAAATAGTCTTTAACAGTTGCAGGTTAAAACAGTTAATAATTTTTTGTTAAATAGTTGAATACAAAAAGATTAATTCGTTAATATCTGCTTGATCTTGAAACCTACAATTTGATTCAGTTTTATATCGTTTGAACAACATCATAGTCTGTGCTAATTATTATTCAAAACATTTTAAAAATCTTTAAAAGTTCGCACTCTTGTACAATCAAGGAGATTTTACATATTTTGGGAAAAAAAACCATTGATTATATTACAGTTCAAATGGGTTCTACGCAGTTCTAACCCAACATGCAAGATAATAATATTATGTAAGATAATTTTTAGATAGATAATTGCACGATTGAATCTGATGGGCTCCTTCTGTTACGATACACCACTACTATACCGTTATTCGCTCAAATGTTAGCGAAAACTGTCTATGTTTAGAATTACAGAATTAATGAATAGTTTCCCTTGATAATTAAAATTATTTTTGTACATTTTAGTTAGTCTCATTTTCCCTATGTAACGATAGGCACCACTGATATTACACGGCGAATGCAAATTGTCTACGAAGTATGGGCATTGATTACCATTTGTATATTTGTTACATTTCTTGCTTTAAGCGTTATCGATTGCTTAATAAAGGTATTTAAGAAGAACTGTAAAAGATCCTTATTAAAATTTTCTTCTATTATAGAATACGCAAATAAATAACGAAAGTTTTGATGAGGGAACTGAACATTGTTACAAAACCAAATTGGTATGAAGTAGTACAGCGAAAAAAATGAGAAGAATAGAATAATAATATGTTTTACAATAATATATTATTTTTTTTTTTTTTTTTTTTTTTTAATATAGAACATTTTTTTGGCCCAAAAATGGTTGAAAAATAAAAAAAAAATAAATATCTGCAAAAAAAGTAAATTTTTAGTGTGTTAAAAAAAAACACCGTAATTTAAAATTTTGGGAAA